TAGCTAACCCTTGAATTTCATGATTTTTTTTTTCCTATTTCTGAAATCTTGTTTCTTTTATTATTGTTTTAATATCATATATAAAACCAAGTATTGTCTTGAAAGCAGTACTCCTAATGTATATAGAGGATATAAAAAGATTTCTCAACAAAATTGACCTCTCAGTGGCAGAGAAAATTGCAGTGGAAGACACATTATTTCGTAGTCATATCTGAGGTTTGGATCTATGGAGAGTCTGACTCCACTGTCCTCCAGCTTTTCCTTATAAACCAAAATGGCTTACAAATGTCATCCACAATAGTCCAATAAAGATTAGGAACAAAACACTGTCCTTACACTGATGAGATAAGAAAGATTTAACTGTAGAATGCAGTGTATAAGAACAGTTCATAAGGCTTGTTCTTGAATCAGAAAAATAGAATTCAAATTATATGTGTGTGTCTAGAATTTAATTGAGGTGATGAGTTTATTTTCTACATAATGTTTGATCAGATGCCTGTACTACAGAGCTAGATAAAAAGAAAAGAAAGAAAACAAATTCTATCAGGAAAAATCAAGAAGACCCGTTATCTACAGTGTGCAAACTATGTCAGGAAATAATTCCACCCTGAGCTCTGAGAATGCCCAGTTAATAAAAAGAGATCAGCCACTCACTAAGAGAAAAATAATTGTCTGTATCTATATTTTTCAAAGCAAAAAGGCAGCCACATCTTACACTAAATAGGACACATTAAGGCTTTAATAATCTTTATGCAGAAGGAAACTAATCCATTTTCAGATCATACGATCCACAGCAATAAAAGGAAATCATCAAACTAAAAACAATTTTAGAGATGGCTGCAGACTCTCATTTAATTAACATTCAACAGATCATATATTTATGAGGAAGTCAAAATATTTAGGAAGCCTATAATCCTGTAAGCCTTAATGTGGTATAAAAACAACAAATAAATGCAAAGTGTTACTGTTATACATGCCTGCCTGATCAATGATTTTCACATATTGATCTATAAATGGAGTTGACAGTCTGTGTTGGCTGCACATTTTCCAAGCAGCGCTATTTTTGTATAAAACCAATACAGGCAATTACCTTTGTTTGAGATGCCAAGTCTTATCAATTCAATGTGATTTAGTGTCATTTTAATTAAATATCAGGATCCACTTCAGGACAATTTATACAAACAAAGCCTCAAACCTATCTATAAGCTTGATTTGAAGTAAACATGGACAAGTCCTACAGCCTCATAATATTTCTCAAAATCTCTGCTAAACAGAAGGCTTATATTTTTAGTAGCAATTTTTATGTCTGCCTTTTTAGCTAGCCACAACTTTGGCAAGTATCCTAAAATCACAGAAGTAAGAAACAAAGGAAAATTGTTTCCTCTTTTTCCTTATAATATATTAAAAAGAAAAATGAAGGAATGCTGTATGTTAAGAGAAGCACAAGGAGTCTTGTATGTTAATGTTTAGGAATGGCTTGACCTAAGTCTTTATCTGAACACTAATTAAAAAAAATATTTCCCTGTCCATGATGGCTATGAATGGAGTGATGCACTTCTGCAGGGTTTACAAGATGGAAATGGCGAATATTCATACATGTTGCTGCTTAAGACACCAGTATTAAATGCCGGAACTACTCCTGCCTGCAAATCCTAGGTCTGCAGTTTCCTGACTTGGGCTATTTAAACTCTTCATTAATACCTATTTTCAAACTGTCTAGTAGGCTGGGCATCTCTCTTATAAATAACATCAAAGCCACATTAAACCTTTTGCATTAGCTATTTGCTGGATTGCACATTAGCCTTTTTAGCCCTTAAAGAGGCACACTTTACTTGCCCCCATTTACGTTCACTAAGCCTTCTGCTTCTGTGTTTAGCACATTCAGGTAAATCATCAGTCCACCTTTAAGAGGTCTCACTCCAATGCTCAGGGTGAGACAACAAATCACTGAGACCAAAGAGCGCTCCGCGCTCCCTCCCCACCAAATGAAGGTCTCCAGATGGCTCTCACAGATACGCAATTTTCTTACTAACCATGTCATTAGATGTCCAAATTTCCCACCTCTCCAACATTTCTTAGAAAGCAAAGTGGCCTCTGAATTTTGAAAAGGCATTGATCTTATGAACCACATAAAAATGATTGTTTGGTGTTTAAAGAAAATGATGCATGCCACCAATAAAATACTAATGGAGTATTGATACCTGTTTTACTGGAATGCTTCCCTGCAGCACTTAGGCAATCAAAACTTTTAATTCAACAAGTAAATTCACCTGTGTTTGCACAGCTTAGGGTAGAATAAATGTTTATATTGGCATTTCAAAATACTCCTCGATTTAAGATACCAAGAATACAGGCTCTTATGACATGTATAGGAGAATTTTATATTGTGTTCTGAGTTCACAGTCATATTAACATATTTTTAATTAAGCAAAATTTTAAGAGGACTTTATGAATTAATGACAAAATTATACAATTGATTTGACCCTAGAATATTTGTATCATGTTTTTGTAATAAGTGAAATCATGGAAATGTGTAATACCAGATTTTTGTGTTATTATATACTCTGATAAGTCCATATTAGATTTGTAGAATTGATATGCAAGTGACAAGTAGTATATATATGCCATATATATTAAATAGGATGCATAATACATATATAGTCTCTAAGTACTCAATTTTTTTCTGTACAGATTAAATGTATCTCTGTTACAGCAAGCCATACCACATGTGAACTTGTGCACACATTTTTAGTGTGCATTTCCTCCCACTTCTCCTAAGTTCAAAATCTCCCCCTTTGACCTTACCCCAACCTCCAACTTCTGAAAAATCAAGTTCTTAGTTTAGCTTGAGCAGATATCTTTAACAGGCTTGTTTGAATAAATATGCCAAAATACTTTACATTCTGTCAGTATCTAGTCAGAAAATTGTGCATGGAAAAAAAGAGATGAAAAGAACTGAGACAGAAAGAAAATTAGTGCCATGGCAAGCTTTCAATACAGTATCTCTGAGCCAAGTTTTCTCGGTGAAATGACATATCCTCACTAAAATACCCCTTTTATATAATTATGCACCGAGCACACATAACCAAAAGTAACTTTTATTTTTGTTCCTTATCGAGGAATACATATTGCCGAGGCTAAGAATGCGGAAACAAAAGCTGGGATAATTATAGCTAATTTAACTTTGGAAAACTCTGATTCTCCAGCAGTCCAGCATATAACCGCCCAAACTAAAGTTATGTAACAAGGTAATATCAACAATGAGAAACTGCATGATAAAATCCTGCCCAAAAGTGAAAAATGCTAATTTTGTCTCATTTAGCAGCTGGATACAGAAATGCTCATTAGTTTTAAGAGGGTTAATCCTTTTAACTTTTGCATATTGATATGCCAATTATGCCTAATTGTACAAGAGGCATCAGTCAAGGTAATAGTGCATAAACACATGAAAGTTATTAAGTACATCCCAACATGTAATAAAGTAGGTGTTAATTGGTAGCTGAGTTCTGCGGGCTATTGAGGTGGATAATTCATTGAGAGATGGATCACTTGTAATTTCTCTCCATAATTCCTTTTGCAGTCTCATGCTGTGATGTTTTCATGCTTGTCAAAAACAACTGCGGCATAGTGCCTTTTGTTAAACACAGCCAATAAAATATGTTAGGCATCATTAAATATACTTAACTTTTAAACTTTTCCAAAGGTACAGTTCTTACTGATAATACATTATAGAGATTCCAATAATTTACTCTAACCATTGTCTCAAGTTCATGGTTGAGGAACGTTTTAGCAGGTTTCAACGCCAAGTCAGGCTGGCCGTGTTGTGCCTCCCAGCAGATAATACTTTTAAATGAGAAAATAAAGAAAAAAAATGCATCTCTCAGTACCTTAACTAGGGATATGTTTTTCACTTTCAAAATATAATCACTGGCTTCCTCATGCTAAATTTGTCTATAATACCTGAAGAAAGGATGATTAAAACCATACATTTCTCAGGCTCCTGAGATCGTTGTGGGTTAATTTTGCACTTGAAATTCGAGTGAAAAACAGCAAATAAATATAATCGGTAACATGCTACTCAGCAAGTTGATCTCATTTAATAACTCAGTTAGGGAGCTGAATATTTCATAGGCCCCTATGATATTAACAGAACACTCAATTAATAGCTCACATGTTACTGCAGGGTGACTGGGACTCACAGCCTGTCCCCAGCTAACCTATTTCTTGCTCTTGCTCTCACTGTGAGAAACAAAATAGATCCGGGGTCCAAAAGAGTGGCTAACATTGCATAAATAATTTTGTAACATCCTATGGCCTCAGCTGCAAGTTACCACCATTATGGAAGAAAATTAACCAGAGGAGACTCATTGCAATCAGTGTGTTTAGTGGCTCAGGATGCGTGCAGGGGCAGGGACACAACTGGCAGTAGAGTTCATCTCTAACTATTTTATTTCAAATCTTCCTAATGACACATTATGGAGACAAAATGGCTTCCTCTCCAAACCTTAAATCTCCACACCATTTCAACTGTTCAAGCTCATTCCAAATCAGATTGTAATTTCCAATATCATATATTGTTGGGAGATTTTAAGGAAGAGATTTTCACTTTTTTAAAAGATTTTTTTCTCAGTTTATTCTTAGCTAATTTTAGCCTCTGGCTTTTCAAAGTGATGTACTGTATTTGGAAGTACAAACACCACATGCTAGCATAACCTCATTATTTTTACGACACTGAAGCATGATAGTGGAGGCCCTTAAAATGAGTCAAAGGTGCTCTTCAGTCTAGCTCCAAATCCACTTTATCACTCTGGATTAAGCCCAGCTCTTCTCTTGCAACTGGGGATATAATTATGACTATAAGTAGGCAAGATAAAATGCATTACAAAAACAGTTTTCTCATGCACATTAGGAAAACAAATAAAACAAGGCTAATTAGCTTTTTTTTCCCCCCTTCTTTTACAAAATTCTATATATCAGGGAACTTGTGGTATTTGACTTACAGGTTCAGTGACCTTCCCAACATCGGTGAGGATCATGGATTTACTTTGGCTCAGCCTGCTGTGGTGGCTGTTGGCATTTTTGATTCTCATTTGCACAGCTCCAGTGCCTTGGCGGGTGGGATTCAGTGTTTCCACAGAGGTATCAGAATTTGTAGACTTCTGCATATTACAATGTTATCCTGATGAAATATAAAAGCATTATATTATTCTAAGTATATGCTTTTCCATGAAAAACTCCTGGTGGAGTGCATATCCTTATACATCATTAAAGTACAAAAATGAAATAAAGTCTCCGCCTCTTTGAGTGGTGAAGAAGAAGGTAGTTACTTTGTAGTGCTTTTATCAATTGGACCTCTGTATTCTGACAGTACTGTATACGTGCCAGAGGATTTCAATTCATAGATAGCACACTCAAATTCTGTGTAGTTTCTTAATTCGATTAAGGAACTCCTAATGGCAATATGATATGGTCTCCCTTATATAGAAATGATATTGCATCTTCCGGGTATATGCTCTTTTCATTTACAACGTCTTTGATCTATCACCCACCCCATCCCAACCCACCTCCAGATACTACCACCAGCAGCCCTTTTTGGTGAACAAAATACCCCTGTGAATAAGGTCAAATTTAAGTGTGTAAAATTGGAGGAAAGCAAGCTGGTCCCATTGACTATCAAATATGTCGGCTTGGCCTCATTAGCATGGTGCAGAGTCCCAGTCACCACCCCCACTTGCAATATCCACAGGGAAAAATTAAAATTCCTTTGTCCACTGCCATCTGCCAACTGAACTAGATTTAGTAGCTTAGTTGGATATAATATTTATGAAGACTATGAAGAAACAGAAAATCAGCACATCGACACTATTTATTTATTTATATTTATTTTAATGGAAGGAGTCTGATTCAGGTAGGAAAATCCAGTGTGGGCAAATTTTAAAGGAGCGGCTGTGAGAAAACAATAATTCAGAAAAAGAAAACAAAGGAAATAAATTGGGTGGGTGGACCAGGAGGGCTTTTAGTTGCTTCCCAAATCCATAATCCTTTTCAGCTGCTCCTCCCCACGAGTTCCTCAAATGAATACATCTACTCTTTTTAAACAGGATATTTGCAATGCAAATATAGCTTCAAAGCTTCTAGAAACAGACCCTCTTCTAGCCTGAGTGTCCTCTCTATGTCTCACCCATATAGACATTTCATAGCTAGCCTAGGCACGTGGGTACAACATTAGAAAAAAATGTCACCAGTCAGTTATAGAAGCCAATATAATCCAAAAGAAGGATTATATTTTAAGAAGCCAACTGTTTTGGTACCTCTACCTGATTGGTCGGACAACGGGGCTAGAATCACGGTAATGTTCAAGTTGAGTGGACACTAAAAGGATTAGAAAAGAATAAAAGCATTTTAACGGGAGGAAAAGTGTTTCCTCATAATTGAAACCAGTTAGGCAATTGAGTGATATTGAGTGAGAAAAGAAGTTAATATTTATTGAGTATTTACTATGTGCCAGGCAATGAGCTGGTTTAATCCTTACAAAGTTCCTATGATATTGACATTAAACTCATATTTTTATAGTGGAGAAAAATGAGGATCAGAGTGACTAACAATTTTCTTAAGGACACTGGGCAGCAAGAAGTGAAGGAGTATTTATTTTATCCACCCCCCCCCCACCGCCGACCCAGATGTCCATCAACAGATAAATAGACAAATTCTAGTTTATCTACACAATGAAATATTGCTCAACAATAAAAATGAATGGATTACTAACGCATGCAACCATATGGATGAAGTGTAAATTCATTGTGCAGAGTAAAAGAAATCAAGACCCCCACCAAAAAAGTACTCATTGAGTACTTACGATTTCACTTACATAATATTTTTGAAAATGCAAACTAACATAAAATGAGAGAAAACAGATTAGTGATTGCCTAGGGACAGTGTGGACTCTGGATACAAGGAAGCTTTTGGGGGTGATGGATGTTTGTTATCTTGATTGTGGTGATGGTTTAATAGCAGTATACATATATTAAAAATGATCAAATTGTACACTTTAAACACTTGCACTTTATTGTACTTCAGTTATATCTAACAAAGCTGTTTACAGGACAGTTTTATTAAGAATTCCTTAACCAATTTATTTTGCTACTTATTTTATTTTAATTTATTTTGAATATATTCATTTTCATAATCATACATGAGTGATATATTTTAAAAACTTATCTAATTGAGAATAAGAGAGCTCTTTTGACAACATTTGAAATAAAAATTTGAATAAAAGAAAGAAATCTTATCCCCGCTATTCCACGGCAATATGATGACAGCTACATTAATAAGAAGGACTTTAAAATGTATCAAATCTGACCACTAATGTATGCATAAGGGATCTTACCTCTATATCTAACTAGAATAAGATAGGGTTTTTTATATATAAATGTGTTTTGAAAAGTAAATGCAATCGGGCTTCCCTGATGGCCCAGTGGTTGAGAGTCCGCCTGCCGATGCAAGGGACACGGGTTCGTGCCCCGGTCCAGGAAGATCCCACATGCTGCGGAGCATCTGGGCCCATGAGCCATGGTCACAGAGCCTGTGCGTCCGGAGCCTGTGCTCCGCAACGGGAGAGGCCACA